CTTAGACAATTTAAGAGCGTAAAGATGTGTTTGATGAAAATGATGTTACACACCCGAGCGGTGTGTAACATCATTACATTGTTCATGGATCGAAGAAATTATGGGCTACCTTTTTTTAATTTTCTTTGACGTTCTTAAATGCCAAAATACTAATTTTGATTTTGATTTTCTAATAGTTTACTCCATCAAATTTTAGAAATTATTTTTATTAAATTTACGGAAAAACGAGGGTCGTAAGTAGACCTTTATGGAGCTAAAATAGTTGGACTTTTTCACTGCGGATCTCTTCTTTCCCCAACTCAATCTTAACCATAAACAACGAGAGGGTGCGCCTGATACTGGTGCTTGGCAGTCATTGATAACATGAGGAAATCTATGGTTTTGTGGAATTGTATTCCAACGTATAAACGTTTAATCACCCATAAACATTGATAATTATTTAATCTAGATAAGCATGTGCTATAAGATGAAAGCTTTTCTTCATAAATTTTATTTTATCGTTTAATAGGTAAAGTATTATTATTATTGATAAAATAATATTATGAAAAAAGTAGGATTAATTTATACAAAAGCTTAGCTTAACATTTCATTCCTTCTGAAAAATTAAAGAAATATTAATTTTTCAAATATTTTTTTCCAAATATAGCACTGCAGCCTTAAAAGATGAACGATAATGAACTAAACTGAGAAACCCCAAATCTAACTCCAAAATACCTTTCACCTAAAGACGATAAAATATACTATACTACTTTAATCGTGAAGTGGGGGTTAAGTAGGCCAAAATACAAGAGAAATTATCCGCCTAAGTGGTCTGTACAGAATTGTAAGCGAGCGGACGCGTTATTTTTCATCTCTCTTTATATTTGCCCGGCGCTACATCGACGGCCGCATCGACCGGGATTCTAATCAATTTAATTTATCAGGGATCCCTGGAGGCAGCCATTCACTTCATTTAATGCGTATATTTTGCGGCAGAGCTGATTGTTTTGAACCATTCGGCTGTACGGTCCATTTAGATTAATTATTGGATTACTTAATTTCGTTGCGGATTTACGCTGTACGCTACATACTTATGCGCTGTGATTTATCGCGTTCTAGCATTTCCCATATGATTAGTTTGGAATTTGAATATAAAATGGACTGATGCAATGTCAAATATGAAACAGTATCATTATCATTAGGTCATTTGGTCTCCATTGCAAGATCCATGACCCTGTCGGATTCATTTGCACATGTAAAGAGAGAATTTGCCTCCTACACTCGCGGCCTTGAATTAGCATACGAAATGTAAACTGGCAATAATAAACCTAATAAAAACAGAAACACATTAAATCCGCATTAATTAATCAGTAGTTGTAATTTAATTAATCAGGTGGATTTAACAATGGGCCTCGGCAGTGATTTGTTTGGCCTAACCGAATCCTGCAATGAGTTGCAATTATCGAAAAGGCATCCATAGCTGCCAAAGCCGGTTTGTCCGCGCGCGACCTATCATTAATTGCCGTCAAGATTAAATAAGAAAGTCGATAATCGACGGAATAAGGGTGGAATTACTGTGGCATTTGTCCCAGGGACTAATAAAGGAGACAGTATTGCACTCGATACGTATAAATGCTCGCAACATTTGGGGCGTGATATTAATTCCGGCGTAATTGCTATCGGTTCCACCCGGCCTGCAGCCATGAGCAATGAATACGGGAGTTACCGCTATTTGTTCCTGACATTGCGGTTTAGGGGCTCGCCTCGTTTATTTATTTTCTTAGAGTTTTGTCCAAACAATACCCGACTGGATTATCGGGCTCATTCCGATAGTTCGGCCTAAATCCGCGCAAAACAATGGGCTTATTTCAAATAGCACTATTGTGTTACATGCAATTAACATCGGAATAAACAAAGCGAGGCAAACAAAGTTGGCGATCGTTTTGTTTGGTAAGGCTGTTATTGACTTTTAATTTTCGATGATAGTTCTAGGAAAATTGAACTGCAGGTGTTCTATTGCTGCAGATTAATTGTTTTTGGATTAAACCAGTTATTTTTAAATGCTCTTTTCTTGAAAAATGTGTTCCCGTTTTTTTATTTCATAATTATATTCCCGTAGCTTTTTTTTTCAGAAAAAATGTAATGTTAAGAAGTCAAATAACTTTCTGGTTAGTATTGATCTTTGTTTCTTTTCAATTTAAAATCTAAAGCATGCTATCCTAAATCATAAGCAGATCATACACATGGCCTGTTAATTAGCGATCTCAAAATCAGACCGTATCGGCTTACCAATCGGTTTCAAAATCAATTTCCTTGTATATACCGTATCCAGGAATAAGGTATTATGATATCAGAGGCAATATCCAATTGCCTGAATATCTCATGTACTACGTACAGCAAAATCACTCTTATTACGTATTACATAAGATGACACAGTGTTAAACTTGATGTGAAATGTTAAAAGGAGTTGTAGTGTAAGATGGGTTCCACCATCTTACGTTAACTGTAACTCAAGTCTGTCAAACTCAATACAAAAACAACGGTTACAGTTACCGTTAAAATTAACGAGGTGCAACTGAAGCTAAGAGTGAAATCTCGTAAAATAAGTGTGTACAGACAGCAGCACATCCAGCTAAGCACTGAGGTCTCTTATACTGTTGTAATAGGAGCAATTTTGCGACAAAAATGCATAGTTCTGATGTACTGCCATCATACTTGAACAATACATATTACTTAAACCACAAGTCACCGTGATAACTGACTGAAAAGAAAATGTAGAACTTAAGCATCAAATAAAGTCGCAGGCAAAACCTAGTCCTTTAACCAGTGGTTACAGTTACAGTATAACTTACGCTATCAAAATCGCGTCATACATAAATTAGGTGCGCGCGGTCAGCCGACCAGTTGAGCCGGTTAAGCCAATTCTGCAACCGAGGGCCAGGAGTACAGGCACCAGTGTATCATCAGTGGTTGATTAATAATGACTGGACTTCAGTTAATGCAATGCACCTGCGCTTTGTGGTTCTTAACACATTTTGAAGGCATTCGTGCTTCGTTTTTGTTACTGAGGTATATTAGGTATTATATGAGGTTATTCTGATAGACTGAGTTTCTTGCGCTGCTTCTTCTCAACAAAACTGCTCCAAAGCAGTGGTAGGGTTAGAGTTTTCTAGTATCTGCAACAATTTTGAAACAAACAATTTTAAAATATGAGTACAAACTCGTTAGGACAAATGGTTTAATCAATTTATAATTATCTTGAAATCAAATTTCATCGTCAACGAATTGAAAAACATCAAACACCATAAGCTTATTACCACATTTTTCAAAAGAGAATTGAGTTGTACCATCAAAAAAACGAAGAAAATAAGGCACGTCCCCTTAAAGATAAGTAGGACGTAACTCCATTCGGTAAAGGGCCTCTCCACTCGTGGATGCAACGCATCCAATCTTATTAGAGCTCCCCTGCTCCGCATATCGCGAAGATATCGGAGGAGATAGGGGTTATTGGGTGGACATTGGGGGGTCGGATTTGGGTGGACAAGCCCCACACAGTCGGCCCGTGCGGTGTGAACGGAGTCCCTCGTTATTTTCAATTTCCATACACGAGCGCTCTCCCGCTACACGTTTTCGTGTACAAGTATGAGATGCGAGTGTATTAAGCTATGAATCTTGTGAAGACTTGAGCTGATTTAATAGGTTCCCTGTTAAGCAGTTACGATTGTTTATAGAGACGCTTGTAACATTATTTTCGGGGAATGTAAGACAGTGGCGTAAATCTTGCGGTACCAATTTGATTTATACTCAATCTCATTCATGATTTCAAAAATACTAAAGATACCTAGGATTATTTTAATAATAAAAAGTGTATAGTTAGCTAGCCTATAAAATTTATTCTAATTGAGCGCAAAATGGAGAGACTTACAATACAAGAATTTAAATATTAAAAAATCTAAAGCTTCACTAATATTGTCTTAGAAATAAAGTCCACATACCGCTCTATCTTGTCCATTCCTCGGAACCCACTCAGAAATATCAAGGAAGATGTTATTATAACACATTTCTGGCAACACCTGTAGGTAGCGAGCTGCGCTACAAGGGGAAAATTGTATTTCCATTTTTACAATTTCAATTTAGTATTAATTCGAGTCCGGAGAACGGTTGGGTGCGCCGCCACATGTAAAATATGGATCGGCTAAGTGAAATTAAAATGCTCTATAAATTGTGATTTTTGCAAGTCCTAAAGTGGAGAAGGCTTTTATTATTTATCGCCCGCCAACCGATGCCCAGCGCCCGCTTACTGAAAATCGCTGTGTTATTATTCAATTTACTTGTTTGAAATATTAACATCGGTGTGAATAATCTTTACGTAACCATTTTACCTTGATAGCTAAATTAGATTTTGTAATTTTTATGTTATAATTTGTAAAATACGTCTTCAAAGTTTTTGTAGCGCTTTGGGGCAAATGTATCTGTAAAGAACTTTGCAGAATAAAAATAGTTTGATGTTTTGACAGATTTTATGTAGAAAATGTGTCAAAACGTCGAACTTGTTCATAAGTTCTTGATAAAGTTGAGGACAAACCAATAGACCTTCGCTATTGTCGAATAAGGTTTTTGACAATGTAAGACCCAGTTACACAAAATAAATATTTTTAACGCGTTCAGACATCGTTCAAAGTTGAATCCTACGATATAAAATAGCAGTTTTTAAACGCTGTAAAATTCCTCAAGCTCCCAGGCAGTCTTGTTAACTAGATAGAACAAAATAAATATCATTAGGTGCAACGGGACGCAATCAGCGGACGGCTGCTATTGGCGCTGTCGCACCTGCTTGCAGTGTAAATTCTAAGTGCAACTGTACTTTGAGTTAAATAAATTGTAGATAATAAATTGTAGAGTTAAAAACCTCGCATTTAAAAAAACTTACATTTTTTTTCCTTCCCAAGTGTACTCTGGTGTCAGACTGTTAACCGTTGGGTAAAAAAAATGTATAATAAATTATGTTTTCTTTGTTTCAGGGGCTTTGGCTTTATCACATTCGGCGACCCATCTAGCGTAGACAAAGTATTAGCTCAAGGAACTCACGAATTAGATGGCAAAAAGGTCAGTATCATAGGTTTTTACATAATCTAAAACAATAAAGAGGCTCGATAGATGTATTTTTATAACAGTAACAAAAAATATTTTTTGAAAACATTTTTATCTAAATTGGTCATACGACATTCCCAGCGCCGCCATCTACATTACTGGCAGCGCCATCTTTTGGTGTTAGATGGAACTAGGTAGCAAAAATTTGTTTACAAAAATATGAGTATTTTTGTAGAGCATAAATGTTTCAGGTATACGAGTAGTAGACGCAATTCTAAGGTATAAAACATCAAAGATTTCGACACGATCATGACATTTACTACGAATTCGGATCCTTCACAGTTTATTGACACATCCCAAATGACATAAATTCCACCCTCGCTGCCCGAATGGCCTTTACAACGCACATAAACGGTTAAATCAGGGTTGGTTTTAATATTTTAACACGTAATTTTTGTTTACGTGAACTACGTCATTTACAATTTTAATTCGCAGCCTAAATGTCGTACGGAATTTGTAAAAACGAAACCGCTCATGAATAGAGATGTAAACATGATTTAATTACGTCATTACGTATGTTCACGTCTGTTTAATTGAGGAGATTGAACGTTAATTGTTTGCGATCTTTTTAAAGGTAAATTCTTTTGATTATTTTGAAGGAATCATTACTGATTACTTTTTAAATGTGTTATCTTTGTAGTGAGTATGTAAATGATATAAATGAAACTATTGTTTTTAACGAATATGGGGTAACGTCATAAACGTCAAAAATCAGTTATCGTTATACTTACGGTCAAAGTTAGGTGGTGCGACAAGCCTTAATGTTATCCCAACTAATATTATAAATGCGAAAGTAACTCTGTCTGTCTGTCTGTCTGTCTGTCTGTTACGCTTTCCCGCTTAAACCTCGTTACCGATTTTGATGAAATTTGGCATAGAGATAGTTTGAGTCCCGGGAAAGAACATAGGATAGTTTTTATCCCGGTTTTTGAAACAGGGACGCGCGCGATAAAGTTTTTCTGTGACAGACAAAATTCCACGCGGGCGAAGCCGCGGGCGGAAAGCTAGTTAGACATAATTATTTAGCTCTGTCAAAAAATGCACTTAATTTTAATTGTGACGCAACAAAATTAAAAGCCACCAAGTTAAAAAGGTTGTCAGTGCAGCGGCAACCGGCAACCGGGACAGCCTACCAATTTCCGACGGGTCACTTTCAACCACATTACCGACGTGGAACTAAAAAGTAACCAACATTTGTGTCCCATGCTTCCGTAGCGGTGAAGGGGTGGGAAAACCATGAAGTGCATGCAGCATATTTTTTAAATATTATGATTCATGCGAAAGTTTCTATTCACTCGATCGTGATTAGAATAAGAGGCAAACTCGCCTAGAGCCAAGCTTTAGAAAATAATTATTTTGAAAGAAAGAAAAAGAAAAAATCGCTTTAGAAAACAAGAGAAGAATAAATGAGTGACTAAGAAAATATTAATATTACTCTAAAATTGCATTTGTTAGCCTCTATTAATCCCTCAAAATGTGATTTTTGTGTGCTGTTAGTTTTATCTAGTCAATATAAATCTTCACCAACTTCGGAGTTTTAAAAGTAGAAGCGGTATATTCATAAGCCGCTTTGTATAGTTTGCTATAATTGATGCAATTCACGACGGCGAGTGAGCTTTACATGTGTGGTGGCTCGCTACTGTTTCTTTTTCAAAAGTTTTGATAGATCACTATGTACACGTACACACACAAGTAAAGCTCACCCACCTTCGTGAGTTGCAAGAACTATACTAGGTAATATAGGTAATCTGAAAAATATTCACTTTAACCGGTCATAACTGTTCGCAACCAATTCCCGCATACCAACAGTAACAGCGGCACCAATATGAAACCGCATAAAACACCGAACATTTCCCGCGGAAGTGAAAATTTTAATTTTTCCAAAAATTTCCCGACTATATTTTAAGAGTCGACGTGATTTATTAATGCAGGACCGTAAATGTCATTTATACGGAACGAGAGGAGACATTTTGCGTCCATTGTGTCACATCCAGGATATGTCAATGGTACCTATTCAGGATTTTTGTTTATCCAGTTATTCGACAGAAATGCGGGTATACATAGTTGTTACAATTCACGAAGGCGAGTGAGTTTTACATTTGTGGTGGCTCGCTATTGTTCGTTTTTTCAAAAGTTTTTATACAGTGTGAGTCACGTTAAAGTGTACATATGAAAATAGATGAAACTAGACCTATTTTTATCGACAAAAAAGAGGTCAAATTTTTTTTTAGATTTTTTTAAAAAATTTTATAGAATTTTTTTTCCTTCCAATTACTTATTGTAAAGAAAACGTAATAACTTTTAAACTAAGCGGTATATCCTGATAAAATAAAAACAGTAATAATTCTAAATAACAGGCAATACTAAAAAAATACATAAAATACACAAAAAAGGCCAACAAATAATAAAAAATGATATTTTTTGAAAAAAATCTGCATTTAATTTCGTGTTTTTTTGGTTATTTGATAAATTTCTCCAAAAAATGCCCCCATAACAGGTGGTTTTTATTACTTTGTATTATTCTCTATCGTATTACCTTTGTAAAACCAAAAATTGCATGTCTCTATCCCTATCACAACATTTGCTATGATCGTTTGAACTAAGCCTCTCCGGGCGCGCCATTCAACGCTTCGTTAACAACGAAACTGAAAATGGCTCTAGATTTGTAATTTTGATAAAGACAAGTTAGATTTCAAATAAACACAAAAGATTTTGAAGTAAAATAAGCATTTTAGTTAAAATTAAAATTGTCTCTACCTGTAGCGGAGAATAATGTTGTGGCAGGCCTTTGTTCAAACGATCATTGCAAACGTTGTGATAGGGATAGAGATATGCGATTTTTGGTTTTACGAAGGTAATACGATAGAGAATAATACAAAGTAATAAAAACCACCGGTTATAGGGGCATTTTTTTGAGAAATTTATCAAATAACCAAAAAAACATGAATTTAAAAGCAGATTTTTTTCAAAAAGTATCATTTTTTATTATTAGTTGGCCTTTTTTGTGTATTTTATGTATTTTTTTAGTATTGCCTGTTATTTAGCATTATTACTGTTTTTATTTTATCAGGATATACCGCTTAGTTTAAAAGTTATTACGTTTTCTTTACAATAAGTAATTGGAAGAAAAAAAAATCTATAAAAAATTTAAAAAAATCTCAAAAATTTTTTGACCTCTTTTTTGTCGATAAAAATAGGTCTAGTTTCATCTATTTTCATATGTACACTTTAACGTGACTCACGCTGTATAAACATTAGACTAATTGTTATTGTGCATATACACATACACACACACAAGTAAAGCTCACTCGCCTTCGTGGGTTGCAAGAACTACATTAACAGAACCAAACTTGACTGTCTCTTACTAATTAGAAGTATTATTTATTACGTGATACAACGTTAAATACTAACGCTGATAAAGTTTCAGTCATAATGCAGGTAAGTAGTAGGTATCTCAAAAATCACTTTTTTAGTAAAAAAATTAAACATGGCTGAAAACAAGTTTCCGAGACCGTCATAAGTCTATAAGTCCGAACTGCATATTGGTCTTTTTAGGCACCAATTTAACAGGAAGAAATGAATGCAAAAAATCATGATTAATAATACTCTGGCACGTTGTAGGTATTAGTTGTATTAGGTGATATTTTTCAATAAAAATAAGTATATGTAGTGACTTGTAAGAACTCTAAGGAAAGTATTTTTTCTTATTCCGTACTTGTTTCAAGCTTTTCAAATCGATAAGCCTTGGAACAAAGTTGAATGAAGAACTAAATAAGTTTCAATATTTCCTCTTAATAAAATATAAATGGGTAAAGTTTAGCAGTGGAAGGGCGGAGATAGAGTACATTGGAAAACAATTATTACATTCTTACTTCTTTAGTATTGCAATTGTTTACTGAAGAATTTATATTATCTTCATATATTTCTTTAGTAGCTTAAAGTTTTTGAAATGAAATTGGTCAAAACAGCGAATGATTCTAAATCAAATAATTCAAGTAACAAGCACTTGGAAGATACATACATTTCTATTAAAAATACATTGTTTGTCCACTTATGTATAATAAATAATTTTTTCACAATCTTTGTCCTTATACAGCTTTTATACGATCAAAGGCACCAAAAATATCGCGAAGCATTCATTTGAAATGTTGACTACCACACAAAAGATACTGCATGTGCCCCACTCAGTAGTGTAATCGTAAATATTCCTATAAATATTGATGGGAGCTATTATGTTCAGGCATACTCCCGAAAAATGTGCACAATTTATGACGTAAAGACATGCGATTAACTTTCCCGCTTAGAGGTTTGTGGTGGGAGTGGGATTACTAATGTTTGTTGTTTTATTGTTATCTACCCACTACCCTTTGAAATGGTTAGGAAGTAGATTTGATATCATCAAAAAATTATGTGTGTCAAAGGGATTCGTTTTGTTCTTCATTCGTGTGGGCTTTTACAGCCTTAGTATTAGATCTTATAAGCTGACTATATATTTGAATATTTGAAAAAGTTTTTGCCAAAGTCAGGATGTTTCTTATTTTCTTAACTGAACTAAAATTTGAATTAATATAATACGTTTTTGTTACCCCTTTGCACGCCTTATGTGGGAATCGATCCTGCAAATTCCTGGTGTAGAGCCTACCTTACTACCCACTCTACTTACCTAATTGAGAGACGTAGGTACCTATGTAAATATCAAGTTTAAATTCAAATGTAAGTAGTAGGTATTCAAGAACCTTTCAAATGACTATTATAAAAGAATCAGACCTATAAAAGCACTGAAAATAAGCACTATCGCGATCTTCCGCGTTCGTTTTATGTAAATCGAGAGAATCTCTGTCGGTCGATTTGTGAGCCTTCGGCTAATCTCGCTCAGTCGACTACAATTTAATCAAAGTAAACAACGATCCGAGTTGTAATTTATCTGGATTATTTCGTGGCCAACGATAGTAATC